CATCTGAAGGAGGCCCAATCTGTGGGATCTTACTGGCCGCTGGGAGGTATGTGGCAGTAGGCAGTCTCGAAGGTATTCATTCAAGGGAAACGGATATTTGTTGCAAGTTAGGGCTTTAAATTACTTCTTTTCATCCTTCCTACATCTCTAGCCAGTTGGCTTTCTTGAGCAATATAAACTGCTAGTTTTGTATCAGGACAATAATTCACTTTCCATTATCCCCAAAACATGATGGTTTGTCCACAGTTGCCATTCTTATATCACACACACCCCCACCTGCGTACTATTTTATTTATTTTATTTATTAATTCAATTTTACAGGTAGTCCTCGGCTTAATGAGCAGCACTGAGCCCAGTATTTCTGTTGCTAAGCGAGACAGGGGTCGAGTGAATTTTGCCCCATTTTTACGACCTTTCTTGCCTGGTTGTTAAATGAATCACTGCCGTTGTTAAGTTAGTAACATGGTTGTTAAATAAATCTGGCTTCCCTGTTGACTTTGCTTGTCAGAAGGTTGCAAAAGGGGATTGCGTGACCCCCCAGGACACTGCAACCATCATAAATATGAGTCAGTTGCCAAGCGGCTGAATTTTGATCACGTGATGATGGGGATGTTGCAATGGTAAGTGTGAAAAACGGTCTTAAGTCCTGTAGTAACTTAAATGACCAAGGGCTACCTGTAATACGCCACCCATCTCACTATCCAAAGTGACTTTGGGAGAGCTTGAAATACAATAAAAGCAGAAATATAAAAACATTAACATGTAACAGGAATTACAGAAAACTAATAACCAGGTATACGAAGTGGGATCTTCTCTTTTATGCCTCCAGCTTTAAAGACCCCCATCAGGGGCCCAAAACCAGTTCGTGGTGCCAAGGTTTTAAGATTTTTAAGGAAAGTTACGAAGCAAAACTTTGATTGTGGCCAGTCGTCAGAGATATTCAGGTGTCCTCCTTAAAAAGCAGGCTAATAGAAAGTTGCTGGATTACCAAGGAAGACGTTTTCCATCCCAGTTCACAAAAGTGCCAGTTTCTTTCTCAGAGAGTAAGGCCAGTGTTTTAAGAATTTCGTGTACACCGTCCTCAACTGCAGTTGGGGCTCTCAACTGGGGGGAAAAAGGAAGGAAGGAGAAAGAAGAAAGAAAGAAAAAGGAAGGAAGGAAGGAAGGAAGGAAGGAAGGAAGGAAAGGAGAAGGGGAAAGGAAGGAAGGAGAAGGAAGGGAGGGAGGGAGGAAAGAAAAGGCAGAGGAAGAAAGAAAGGAGAAGGAAGGAAAAAAGAAAGAAAGGAAGGAAGGAAGGAGAAAGAATAAGAAAGAAAGAAAAAGAAAGGAAGGAAGGAAAGAAGAAGAGGAGCAAGGAAGGAATGAAGGAAGGGAGGGAGGAGAAGGGAGGAAGGAAGGAAAGAGAACACAGAGGAAGAAAGAAAGAAAAAGGAAAGAAAAAAGAAAGGAAGGAAAGGAAGGAAGGAAGGAAAAAAGAAAGGAAAAAAGAAAGGG